CCGACCAAACTGACTTATATCAACATATTATGACCTACTATGATCATTAAACTGAACTTCAACAGACATGGCTGATCTGGCCTGATGAACCGAGCCCTCGGCCGTGGTGCGCTCGCTATATGCGAGGCCTACGGCCGTCGGCCATCTCTCGACCGAAAAGGCAAGTAACTCGACCACTTTACTTGACGGAACTTTAACATGAATAAACTTGTCAAACAAGACCTGAAAATACACCGAACGCATATTGAACATGTAAGGGCCGCGGCGAACGCCCGTACGCCGCCGACGGCTATATGCCGTCTCTCGGCCGAACGACCTCTTTACTCGACAACTTCAGAACCTCATAACATGATCATTATACTGAAACAATTTAAGACTTAAACACTCTGAAGAACATGATTAATACTGAAGTAACAAGTTTCGGCCCGAGGCTACCCGAGGCTACGCACGATAGGCGCGGGGGCGTCGGCTGGGGGCCATTTCATCGACTTTTCTTCATATTTACTCAACAAGCTGATCATATTGAGCATCAATTAGACTAAACTGAACATTTAGGCGATCATGGTTCGAAAGTTGTCGGAGGGAATCGAAATTCGTTCGGTGATAAAATTACTTAGGCATATTCGTCTTAAGCACGGTTAAATTTGAAATTACCGACAATTAATCGAACTCTGAACCTAGAGGTAACCTAATGAACATGAACACGAAAGAGAAAGAAGGTTACCTCCTAGTTCGCTCGACGAAAATCGTAGAACTCCGCGTGATCTCTTCACCTCGCGTGCCCGTGCGATGGCTTCGGTTTGCCGTGCGGTTTTGATAGAATTTTAGGGACGATTGATCGAACTAAGTAACTGCTGAAGGCTAATTTATGCTGCTGAGTATATATATGAGAAAGGATGGTGAAAATTTTTCAAACTCTCCTCAATATATAGACGGCCGATGGGGTGATGATGGATGACGAGGGCCTCTCGTGGCCTTGTTTAGAATACAACACTTGTTTCAATTTTATGCCTATTGAGATGACTCAACACCTCCTTCACTTGCCACTTGTCTTAAGAAAATTGAAGAGGAAAAATGGTTTCCCTCACTTGAGGGAAGTTACGGTTTATTAGGAATTTTTGAACATTTTCCCCATAATTCCCACGGCTTTTGGCATAACGAGTGATTAATTGATTTAATTAATCACAATCTAGGTTTAATTCTTTAATTAACCATAGTACTTAATTACCAAAATTATTTCGAACGTAAACGATACGCCGAAAATCAATTTCGGTAATCCCGACTGAACTTAATTAATTCCGAAAATAATAAACGATAAACATATAATTATATCGGAATTAAACGTAATTTATACCGATTAAATATCGGGATATTACACTCTCTCTCGTACTCGTCAACAGAACGAGTACCCTGTTTGAGTGCCAGGAACTGGCGCTCCATCTCTGCTCGGTTGTACGAGAGATAGTACTTTCCGCGAATCAACTCCTTGAATTGGTCCCACGTACAACCTTCCTTTTCGCCGGGACGCATACTCCAATAGGCATTCCACCAGAGTCGGGCATCACCAGTCAGCTGGATCTGTGCGCATAAGACGCGATAACGGTCGGGACAGTCCATGACCTCGAAAATCATTTCAAGGCCCTGAACCCATTCGTCCACTATACGAGGATCTCCTTGGCCGAAAAATTTTTCTGGATGGTAGTCGCGGAAATGCGCGACCACTATAGCCTGAGGGAGCTCCTGGTCATCTGGATCACTACGAGGAAGCATCTGAATATTGAAAAAGATCAACATAATCAGACGCAAAGAATATAACATGATAAAATACTTTTACTGATTATTAATGCGCACAGATCTCTTGACGAGTTGCTAAAATTAACCCGAGAAAACTAAAGTCGAATTATCAAATAACTAAGACAATCGATTGTGTTCTGAAAATACTTGATCACTAACTCGAGCATCTTACTAGTTTCTAGGGTTAAATATCTGGCACGCTTTACTGAGCATAGACTTAAGCATCTGTTTTAGATATATATAAACTGTAACTCAGCACTTACCTGTAGTCGGCGAGGCATGAGCGTAGCGTGGTCGGGTCTTTTCTGAAAATTTCTAACTTAATAAAGTATTCAGATACACAAAAATGTGCTCTGATACCAATTTGTAACACCCCGCTAGCTTATTAAAATCAGAGTTAAATTTTCGCAAATTCTTTTCAAAAAATACTTATTAGTTTGCGAAGTCGTGACTCAGGATGCTACAGAAAAACATTTCTTTTTGTAAATATCCATTAACTAAATTAAAATCAAAATCATTTAGAAAAACGGATTATCTTTTATCAAACCGGTATGTAATACTGCATAAATCCGACCAGAAGGTTCGGATCAAAATATGAAAACTAACATGCGAGTCTGAAAGTCTGAAAACGTCAGCGGAAGTAAAAACGTGGCAAATAATATACATATCATAAGTCTGCAAAAGCTTATATACTGGACCATCGACCACCTGCTCTGCTCACTCCTCTGGACCGATCCTGTCACCTGAAAAAGAATAATATAGTGGGAGCGTGAGCACTAAAGCCACTGTGCTCCGCAGAAACTCATACTGAAATAAAACAATAATAATAATTGCATCATCATGATCAAACGCATGTATATCTGCTGCTATCTGTAACTGGCTCGTCAACAGTATAAACTGGACGTAAACTGTGTCTGCCGACTGTAATAAACTCAGCCGGAACCATGTGCACACCCTAGTGGTCAGATCTAGCCACTAGAGCTCGGAGTGGAATTACGCAACCTGGCCACCACTCTAAGCGGAACTGATATATACATACCTCGAACATGATAGCTGTAATTATACTCAATGTAATACTTAGTTTGAGTTCCCACCTGAACTGATAGTCTTAATATATAAGTGCTGCTGCTGATCAATCTGTAAAAATATATATAAATAAACAAATACTAAGCACTATGCTCAGACTGACTGAAAATAGCTGTTAAGATGCTCGACTCGATCTAAACATTTAACTGGTATTATCTCGGGGTTTAACTTGACTGACAAGAAAATCGGACTGAACTGATACCGGCGTACTGAACTGACTGGACTAAAAAATAACTGAAATACTGTACTGAACTCGGACCAGGTCACTGAATACTGAACTGCTCAAG